ATATACAAACGTTAATTTAAACAAGAAGATAGATAAGAACGCCTCATAATCTGTAGGATCCTATGTCCAGATGTGTCTGATGGACATTTGCAAACACCGTATGGTTCATACCTAAAAGGATCGGTATATGATTGGTATTCAAGTGGAGAAGGTCCAATGTGATTAGCGGGCCTGTCAACCGGCCACACTGCTAACACAGAAACACAAAGAATTGCACATGAAAACAAATACGCATACGCACAGGACAATACAATGATGGAACTGAATATAGTTCATATGAGAAATAGATTGTGAACTTGCACCCAAAATTAAGTTTTGCTCTAGGTGCGAAAGTTAAGCACTGTCTCAACGAAGATAGAGAAGTTACATGAGCCGACTAAGATTATGCCGTCAACGAGTTTAAGCAAATGACAAGGCAGTTTCCAAAATATTATAGCGCGATGAGCCTATAGATCTGCTCAAACAACTTTCCCATACGAAATGGGAATAATGCAAAATGCAGAGTCCTCAAAAGTCAGTTAGGGCAGGCTTCGTGGTTTATGTGCCAACGATTGCATATCAAACCTAATGGATGACGAGATATCGACCAAAACTTACCAAGTTTAAAACTTAGAAATGAATTTGCCCCATTATAATCATGAACCGATTTAAAGAAAATCTAGATTCAAAGAATCCCTCAACAGATTGATGTTGGCGTGCATCGTATTTTGTTTGAAACAGCGAATGGAAGGGATTAGTAAATCGGCTTTACTGGACACCGAAGGAAGAATATCTTGGATTTGTGACTTATGGATTGTAGAAATAATGCAGTTTAAGGCAATCCTCCTTCGATGTCCAGAAGCTAATCTACTAATCGCTTCCATCCATATTTAAAACAAAGTAAAGGGAACACCAGAATTCTGGTTTAATTCGACGGAATAATCAACAAATAACTAGTATTGAAGATAATTTTTATGTAGCATGTTCATGAGGACCGCTTTAAGGCTCCAGAATAGTTGACCTGAGAGGTTTTCAAACAAGAGACGAGTACCACTGAGACGACTCTAGTTTCGCTGCCCTTCTTGGGCGC